TATATATAATAACGTATGAAAGTGTCCATGTCCCAAATTAGTTTCACTCTATAGTTATTGAAATGTTTTTTCCGTTTTATAGGAGTACTGGAAGAAGCTCGATTCTTTGGAATAGAGCAAATGGCTGAACAGCTAGAAGTGGCGATTAAGGTAATAGAACAGAAGTGTTAAAGTGTTTATAAATAAAGTGTTTCTTGTTATGTAAAATGTAAATAAAAGTTTGGTGTCAGTCAGATTTGTAAGATATGCTCACCAAGGCTGCAATGTTTTGATCAAAAATACAGTAAAAAACAGTAATATTGTGAAATATAATTACCATTCAAAATAACTGTTTTCTATTTTAATATATTTAACATATTTTTTGTGATCGCAAAGCTGAATTTTCAGCATCATTATTCCAGTCTTCACTAGCTACAGTATGTTTCCATTACCCTGTTTTTATGCGCATTTTGAAGTAACGCATCAGAAACGAGTAATGGATACGCCAAATTTAGAGGAAAAAAAATCCCTTAATTCGCAAAAAAGTTTTTATGCTTGCTTGAGGTGTTTTTTTTGACTTGTGCGAAAAAGGGTTAATGGGAGATGGAAATGCGTTTTGCAAATAAATTCCTCCATGCGCATCAAAAAAGTCCTGACTGATCTTGTTGCACAGCATGTGAAATGTTGTTTTGGTCATTCTTAAAAACCAGAGCAAAGTCTGTCGTTAAAGTATTTCTGTATAATTGCCTCCCACAACTGTTTTTCACGACTGCGCTCCCAAACAGCAGCATCCACCTCCGAAAGCAATGACCGCTTTTATTGTGTTTCGTCTACTCGCTCTGAGGTGCAAATAATAAATGATTATATTCAGTGGCTTCTACTTTTCTTAGTGATATTTAGTGCCAGTTTATCGGGAAGTGACGATTTTGTTCTCTTTGATTCGTTGTATGGAAACTGCTTATTCGCAAATGTTTTATGCGATATTCCAATTTTGCGCATAAGTTAAATTCGAAACTTTGGATGGAAACCCGGCTAGTATCACATGATCCTTCAGAAATCATTCTAATATGCTGATTTGCTGCTCAAAAAAGATTTCTTATGATTGTCAATGTTGAAAACAGTTGTGCTGCTTAATATTTTTGTTGAAACTGTGCTACTTTTTTTTCAGGATTCTTTGATGAATAGAAAGTTCAAAAGAAGCATTGTGTCTTTACTTTCCCATTTGATGAACTTAATGTGTCCTTGCTGAGTAAAACTAATCATTTATTTCAACAATAAAACATCTTAATGACCCCAAGCTTTTGAAAGGTTCTGTATATGCATATGTTTATTCATTGTATTTTTTACTTTGTTTTCCATGACATGCAGAATTCTCATCCACCTGAAGACCACTCTCCACTCTCACGGAAAGAATTTGTTCGGTTTCTGCTGGCTACGCCAACCAAATCAGAGCTACGCTGTCAGGTAGAAGACATTTGTAATTCTTCAGACGTGTGTTTTAGTCAGTTTGATGTTGGCATTAAGGTGGCTTTTTTCCTCTTTCGCTCTCAGGGTCTTAATTTCAGTGGAGCGGACCTTTCTCGGCTGGATTTGCGCTATATCAATTTTAAGATGCAAATCTGAGTTCGCTGCAATCTCACCTATGCAAACCTGTGCTGCTCAAACCTGGAGAGAGCGGACTTATCTGGAGCCAACCTGGATGTGAGCTGATCAAAACTTTTTTTAATCTCTTTTTCTGGTTTTAATACGTCTTTTTTCCTCTTTCCCTCTCAGGGTCTTAATTTCAGTGGAGCAGACCTTTCGCGGCTGGATTTGCGCTATATCAATTTTAAGATGGCAAATCTGAGTCGCTGCAATCTCACCTATGCAAACCTGTGCTGCTCAAACCTGGAGAGAGCGGACTTATCTGGAGCCAACCTGGATGTGAGCTGATCAAAACTTTTTTTAATCTCTTTTTCTGGTTTTAATACTTTTGAACTGATATAAAGCCTTGCTTGTTCTCCAGGGTGCTAATCTTCAGGGCGTGAAGATGCTCTGCTCTAATGCAGAGGGAGCGTCACTGAAAGGATGTAACTTTGAGGATCCCTCTGGGCTAAAGGCCAATCTAGAGGGTAAAACTGCACACAGAAGCCATTGTTTAGCTTTAGAAATAAAATGACATACATTAGTCATTGCTAGCATTGTCAAAAGTACCATGTCGATACTTACATTTTTAAAACTTCACAATACCAGCCTTCCCGCAATACTGGTAGTACCAAGTACAGTGTTGATCTGGTAGCAGCTAAGCTGTCTGTGAAGAGCATCAACAGTTTCTATTTACAACGAGTTTTTACAACTTTGAGGTCAAGGTCAGGTTATTTCTATAGCACATTTAAAAACAGCTAGTGTATACCAAAGTGCTGTACATATACAAATAAAGTAAATATACAGATTAAGAGAATAATAGAAAAGATATATAATATCTATATAATAGAAAATATACATACATTTTATCCAAAAGCCAAGGAGTACAGATAAGTCTTCAGGCGGGATTTAAAAACAGGAAGGGAAGGCGCAAATCTAATGTCCAGAGGCATGCTGTTCCATAGTCTAGGACCACGACAGAAAAAGCCCGATCTCCCTTCGATTTCAAGCGAGATCGAGGTATAAGCAAGAAAAGTTTATCCGAGGATCTGAGAGAGCGCGAGGATTGCTGATAGCTGAGAAGTTCGGACAAGTATGATGGGGCTAGACCATTTATTGCTTTATACACAAATAATAAAGTCTTAAAATGGATCCTATGCTGCACCGGTAACCAATGAAGAGATGCTAAGACTGGAGAAATGCTTTCTCTCCTCTTAGTACCCGTCAGCAGCCTCACGGCTGCGTTCTGGACCAACTGCAAACGATTCAGCGATGACTGATTGAAACCCATATAAAGCGCATTGCAATAATCAAGTCTGGAAGTGATGAAGGCATGAGTAACTATCTCCAAATCCTTAAACGAGAGCATAGATTTTAATTTGGCTATTTGCCTTAGTTGAAAAAAGCTGCTCTTCACCACAGCACTTATCTGTTTTTCAAATTTCAGATCAGTGTCAAAAATCACACCTAAGTTTTTAGCAAAAGGATGAATATTTGATGACCAAGAATCTAAATTATTAGTGATATCAGAGACAGCACCTGGGGGTCCAAAGACAACAATCTCAGTTTTGCTCTCATTTCATTGGAGAAAGTTTCTACCAGTCCAACATTTAATATCTTCAAAGCAATTTAAAAGGTCAGAATAAGAGTGATCAGAGCTAAGAGGAATATAGATCTGAGTATCGTCAGCATAACAATGGTATAAAATATTATATTTCCTCATGATGGAACCCAAGGGGAGCATATACAAACAAAATAAGACAGGCCCCAAGAGGGACCCCTGAGGTACCCCATAGGTGAGCGGTGCAGAAGGAGAGGACGAGTGTCCAATCATCACCTTAGCTGATCTATCGGAGAGGTATGATGAGAACCAATCCAGTGCCGTGCCCCTAATGCCAACCCTTAGACTTGAGTAATGTAGCCAATCACAGACATGTTTGTTGAGCGAGTGAACGCAATGGCCAATCGGAGGCTTTTAAGTCAGAATCCACTCAATACACCAGATATTTTCAGTGAGCTCTGCATGCCTGCAAATTGTTTCACGATAGAGTGTAACAGTCGGGCTCAGGAAGAAAAAACACCATTAATTTTCTCCATAGAGAAATTGATTTTTAATTAAATTGGATAAACCATTAACAACAGACCTACTGTGAGCTCCGAGGTTGTTAATCGATGGTACATGCTTTTGTTGAAGCCATCAGTTCGCATTATTTTAACTTATGTTTTCAATCATCATGAACTACATCAAAAACTACACGATCATGATTTTGTAAAGAAGAGTTCACCAATCAGAGAGTCGCAGCAAGCAAAACAATAATCATAATTTGAATAAAAGTTGTATTTTTCATGCTGTTAAGCACACGCTGTAAAACTTCAGGATTGTTGGCCATTTAAAAATGCGGGACTGAATCTGAAATTGTGATGTTTGACATAGCAATGACTATAGCAATGGAAAAAAAATCTGATGTGTCAAAATAGATCCGTGCATTAAATCTTGCAGTGCAATAGCCTGCCACTTTCTTTGTTGTTTTATTACTTTAATTTGATCTTTTTAATGCAATGTCTACATAATTGAACAATATTTGAAGGCTACATGCTAATGTAACATATTATTTACTTATATTTATATAATTAACTTTTTTTTATTTTTTATTTTTTTTATTTCCATATAGTTAAATAAAAAAATATTAAAATAGTTCAAATGTTTTTTTTCTATGGTATCGAAATTGGAATAGAGAGCTGTGGAATTTTACTGGTATTTGTACCGACTACTGACATTTTGGTATTGTGACAGCGCTAGTCATTGCTAATGAAAATGATGCCACATTAATGTTGCATTATCATGTTTTTTGTTTTGCAGTTGGTTAATTAGTGTATTCTCTGTGCGCTTTAGGGGCTAATCTGAAAGGAGTTGACATGGAGGGCAGTCAGATGACTGGTATAAACCTGCGTGTGGCGACGCTGAAGAACGCTAAGCTGAAGAACTGTAAAAATGCCTTCTACCTGACAACGTAGCTCTGATTTGGTTGGCGTAGCCAGCAGAAACCGAACAAATTCTTTCCGTGAGAGTGGAGAGTGGTCTTCAGGTGGATGAGAATTCTTCAGACGTGTGTTTTAGTCAGTTTGATGTTGGCATTAAGGTGGCTTTTTTCCTCTTTCGCTCTCAGGGTCTTAATTTCAGTGGAGCAGACCTTTCGCGGCTGGATTTGCGCTATATCAATTTTAAGATGGCAAATCTGAGTCGCTGCAATCTCACCTATGCAAACCTGTGCTGCTCAAACCTGGAGAGAGCGGACTTATCTGGAGCCAACCTGGATGTGAGCTGATCAAAACTTTTTTTAATCTCTTTTTCTGGTTTTAATACTTTTGAACTGATATAAAGCCTTGCTTGTTCTCCAGGGTGCTAATCTTCAGGGCGTGAAGATGCTCTGCTCTAATGCAGAGGGAGCGTCACTGAAAGGATGTAACTTTGAGGATCCCTCTGGGCTAAAGGCCAATCTAGAGGGTAAAACTGCACACAGAAGCCATTGTTTAGCTTTAGAAATAAAATGACATACATTAGTCATTTTGTCAAATGTCAAAAGTACCATGTCGATACTTACATTTTTAAAACTTCACAATACCAGCCTTCCCGCGTAGTACCAATTATTTATATAGCACATTTAAAAACAGCTAGTGTATGCCAAAGTGCTGTACATATACAAATAAAGTAAATATACAGATTAAGAGAATAATAGAAAAGATATATAATATCTATATAATAGAAAATATACATACATTTTATCCAAAAGCCAAGGAGTACAGATAAGTCTTCAGGCGGGATTTAAAAACAGGAAGGGAAGGCGCAAATCTAATGTCCAGAGGCATGCTGTTCCATAGTCTAGGACCACGACAGAAAAAGCCCGATCTCCCTTCGATTTCAAGCGAGATCGAGGTATAAGCAAGAAAAGTTTATCCGAGGATCTGAGAGAGCGCGAGGATTGCTGATAGCTGAGAAGTTCGGACAAGTATGATGGGGCTAGATCATTTAATGCTTTATACACAAATAATAAAATCTTAAAATGGATCCTATGCTGCACCGGTAACCAATGAAGAGATGCTAAGACTGGAGAAATGCTTTCTCTCCTCTTAGTACCCGTCAGCAGCCTCACGGCTGCGTTCTGGACCAACTGCAAACGATTCAGCGATGACTGATTGAAACCCATATAAAGCGCATTGCAATAATCAAGTCTGGAAGTGATGAAGGCATGAGTAACTATCTCCAAATCCTTAAACGAGAGCATAGATTTTAATTTGGCTATTTGGCTTAGTTGAAAGAAGCTGCTCTTCACCACAGCACTTACCTGTTTTTCAAAGTTCAGATCAGTGTCAAAAATCACACCTAAGTTTTTAGCAAAAGGATGAATATTTGATGACCAAGAATCTAAATTATTAGTGATATCAGAGACAGCACCTGGGGGTCCAAAGACAACAATCTCAGTTTTGCTCTCATTTCATTGGAGAAAGTTTCTACCAGTCCAACATTTAATATCTTCAAAGCAATTTAAAAGGTCAGAATAAGAGTGATCAGAGCTAAGAGGAATATAGATCTGAGTATCGTCAGCATAACAATGGTATAAAATATTATATTTCCTCATGATGGAACCCAAGGGGAGCATATACAAACAAAATAAAATAGGCCCTAAGAGGGACCCCTGAGGTACCCCACAGATAAGCGGTGCAGAAGGAGAGGAAGAGTTTCCAATCATCACCTTAACTGATCTATCAGAGAGGTATGATGAAAACCAATCCAGTGCCGTGCCCCTAATGCCAACCCTTAGACTTGAGTAATGTAGCCAATCACAGACATGTTTGTTGAGCGAGTGAACGCAATGGCCAATCGGAGGCTTTTAAGTCAGAATCCACTCAATACACCAGATATTTTCAGTGAGCTCTGCATGCCTGCAAATTGTTTCACGATAGAGTGTAACAGTCGGGCTCAGGAAGAAAAAACACCATTAATTTTCTCCATAGAGAAATTGATTTTTAATTAAATTGGATAAACCATTAACAACAGACCTACTGTGAGCTCCGAGGTTGTTAATCGATGGTACATGCTTTTGTTGAAGCCATCAGTTCGCATTATTTTAACTTATGTTTTCAATCATCATGAACTACATCAAAAACTACACGATCATGATTTTGTAAAGAAGAGTTCACCAATCAGAGAGTCGCAGCAAGCAAAACAATAATCATAATTTGAATAAAAGTTGTATTTTTCATGCTGTTAAGCACACGCTGTAAAACTTCAGGATTGTTGGCCATTTAAAAATGCGGGACTGAATCTGAAATTGTGATGTTTGACATAGCAATGACTATAGCAATGGAAAAAAAATCTGATGTGTCAAAATAGATCCGTGCATTAAATCTTGCAGTGCAATAGCCTGCCACTTTCTTTGTTGTTTTATTACTTTAATTTGATCTTTTTAATGCAATGTCTACATAATTGAACAATATTTGAAGGCTACATGCTAATGTAACATATTATTTACTTATATTTATATAATTAACTTTTTTTTATTTTTTATTTTTTTTATTTCCATATAGTTAAATAAAAAAATATTAAAATAGTTCAAATGTTTTTTTTCTATGGTATCGAAATTGGAATAGAGAGCTGTGGAATTTTACTGGTATTTGTACCGACTACTGACATTTTGGTATTGTGACAGCGCTAGTCATTGCTAATGAAAATGATGCCACATTAATGTTGCATTATCATGTTTTTTGTTTTGCAGTTGGTTAATTAGTGTATTCTCTGTGCGCTTTAGGGGCTAATCTGAAAGGAGTTGACATGGAGGGCAGTCAGATGACTGGTATAAACCTGCGTGTGGCGACGCTGAAGAACGCTAAGCTGAAGAACTGTAACCTGCGTGGTGCTACATTAGCCGGCACAGATCTTGAAGTGAGACAACCGTGTTGATTTTGTGGCATCTAGCCACATTCCTGATATTATAACCCTGAAAAAAATGACAAATGTTTTCTTTCATGTATGTGCAGAACTGCGATCTCTCAGGCTGCGATCTACAAGAAGCCAACCTGCGTGGTTCAAATGTGAAAGGAGCCATCTTTGAGGAGATGCTGACTCCACTGCACATGTCCCAAAGTGTGAGATAACCAATTACATCTCTCCCTGCCCGGCAACCTCACCACTCACCAGCCAGCTATTCACAGCTCTCCCTTACCCTACCCCGACCCCCCCTTTTCGTTTCACGCTCCTGTAAAACCGTATGCAATACTAGCACTTGGTTTAGTGCTAGCCTTCTCTTTGAGCTTTACTCTCATGCACTAGTGCACATCCAGGGTCTGTAGTCATGGCCAAAAATAGCGAAAGCTTAGTGTAGAGAATCCAAATAGTGGAAAATGCCGTTTGTCAAACCAAACTTGTTGCTTTTGGTTTTATTTATGCTTTGAGTTGAACTTTTGTTCAATTTTACCGAATGTATACGTTTCATGTTGTGTTTGTCTCAAATAATGAAGTCGACATTTCAGTCAATCAAATATTTCAACCAAATATATCTGTAGTATTTTAGATTTATCAATCAATTGTAGGCGGTTTATGATAAGGCTTATTGTTGCACAGCTTACTACAGGTAAAACAAACTCATAAATAGTAGCTTTTTATATATAAAATATGGAAAATACCTAATATAACTGACTGGTCTGGTTTCAAATATGCAACATAAGCATATAGCTCTTACATATTCTGTGTTCACATTTACATGTAAACCAAATTAATTGTTTGTTTTGATTTCTGATTTGTTGTTTGATCTACCTCCCTTACAACCCGTTCTAGTTTTAAGTCATTTTTAGTTTTTGAAACCATGCAGTCATGCAAAGATTTCAACCAAATGCAAACCACGTTTTACTGCATTTTTGCAACACCTATTAATTCTTTAATAACTGTGTAATAACACTTAGCCGTAGGTTAATATGCACAATAATTAACCAGTGGTGCCAATATGCTGGTTTATAATATCACTATATTGTATGTGTAAATGTTTCACTTTTCAGATTTCTTATTTTCCCCATTTTTTAATCGTTTAATTGATGAAGTGGAATGTTGAAGTGACCAACCCACACCAAAAATTGTTTGTGATGTTTCTCGTGTCACTATCAAATCCAGTGCTTCCTTATTTAATGTTTGTCATGATATTATGTTTGTTCATCAATATCGTTCCACTTTTTGTTAACATTTTGACCATATAAGGCACTAAATTAGGACTTGAATTGTGCATTCATATCCAAAAATTGTGTGTGTAAGACTGACAAAGTAGCACATTTATGAAATGCAACTTAGGTCTAAGTGCTGCTAAATTATTGCATTATAATATCAGCTGACCTGGATTATTTGCTGCATGGTTAAAAAAATCAAAAACTAACCATCTCGGTCAGAGATTTCTGACAGTGGCTCAGAGTTATTTGTTATACAACATGCTGTTATTTTTCATTTACAAATGTTATTGTAGGTACTCTTATCAATCCTGTTCAATGAAGGCAATCAAAATAGACTTTTGCACTTAAAGTGTGATTCTCTATGTATATCAGACCCTTGTGGAAAGGGTGCTAGCTATTTATTTATGTATCAGGCTGTATTTATGTAAGTGGTGGAGGGGATGATCTACCTATTCTCTCTTTACCAAACTTTGTTGCACTCTATTACGGAAGTGTGTTTCCATAAATAGACTGTTATAATCAAACTCCTGTCTGTCTTTATTTATTCTTTTGGATATGTATCATATCAGAATGATTTCTGAAGGATCATGTGACACTGAAGAC